CCAAGAATGGTCTCATGAACACCATTAAGAACAATATCCCTCTGTGGCCTCCACTTGCCTCCTTCCCCTCCCTCAGAGAATTGGACAATTGTCTTCTTGACAAATGATCTAGTATCCCACTGCTCTGTAACTACATTACAAAGAGGGTTTAGGCAATTTTCTTATTATTTGGTATTTTTATTATCCACTGCCTGGACTTATGGACTGAGGTTGACCCTAATCACTGTCTGACTGGGGGTAGGAGGCCGCTAATTTCAACCTTAGCCCAAAGCACAATATTACCTGTGTGATTAATATGAAGTTTTGTTTTTCTTCTGAGTGTTTTGCTGATGCCAATGCAGGCTTCCCTGCATGCAACCATTGGCGAACTGTGCCCTGTAAGGCTTGTTTTCTAACATTACAGTAACTTCCATATTTGTAAGCATAATGATCACTTTCACATACAATAATAAGATACAATATTTATTAGTAATAATAATAAAAAGTATTGTAAGAAGAGAATGCTTGCTGCTATATATAAACATGCTCTTGCCTTCCCCGTTTTTAACATTAGAATGGCATGAAAGAAGGTTATTCCCTAAAGCAAAGTCAGCAGCACCAAAATATGCATAAAGAACTAAAATAAAGTTTATGAAAGGGCCCTCAACCACTTATCGTTTTCACAGTGGGAAAGAATGCCTTGGGGCTTATTGGGAATTTAGATCTTTGAGTTTATGAGGGCAGACTTTGGGATTGGGCCCAATAGCCCAGTAGCTTCAGTTTCCTGACCACTAAACATCATAGTGGAGTCAGGCTTTGCATTTGAAGCCTTTAACTCACACTGTCATGGTATTGATACACAAACCAAGAAGCACAAGGAGCAACACAAGCAGGTAATGGTGTTCTGAGTTTGGCTGCAGCATTTGCTTAGCTAATGAAAATCGTGCTGGCTGGGGAGCTGGCCTTCTATCCATCCCTGGCAGATGAGTTAAGAGTCGTTTGAGGGTGGTTGTTGAGTTGTGGACAAGATGATGCTTAATGATGGATGAGTTTGTGCTCTGAGCCAAAATTTGTCTACACCAAATTTTTCCTCATGCATTGTTACACTGTGCAGTGGTCGGGGAATGCTGCAACAAGAAGTCAATTATGTCATTTATGAGTGGTGCAATACTCCTGTGATCATATTGGCCTGTTTCTCACTGTCTGCTGCTTTGCTTATTAATTGCATCCAGTCTGCTGATTCAGATTTTCCAAAGTACATCTTCTTTTTTCATTTTTTTAAACACAGATCCCTTAGTAGATTTACAGCAAGTGCACAGCAGAGCTGTTGATGATGACTGTCAGTTTGTCAGAGTCACCTCAGACCTGCAGACTGCGTTTTACTGTTTGGCTGGAATCCTCTATGATCCAGTTCATAACCTCATGGCCACTAATAAGCAATACTTCGTAGCACTGATCAAAATAAACACCTTTGGTAATTCAATTCTATCTGTTCTTTTTAACATGGCAAAATATTTTGTTTGGGTTATATATTTTTGAAATGTAATCATATTTTTTTTCCTTAGGGCACTGTTTCGAATCATTTCACACTGAAACCATACCGTATATGTTAGTAACGGTTAAGAAACAGTATCCACAATTATACAAAATCATGCTGAGAAATGAACAAAAGCATCAACAAATTATTTACAATGGGAAATCTCTCCACGAACAACACACATGTGACCACAATATTATTATGTAGAATGTTAGTCCATATAACTGCTGGCACGCAGATGTCTTTTGTGGACATGCCTCTTCATGATACATCTACAGTGGGTATGGAAAGTATTCAGACCCCCTTAAATTTTTCATTCTTTGTTATATTGCAGCCATATGCTAAAATCATTTAAGTTCATTTTTTTCCTCATTAATGTACACACAGCACCCCATATTGACAGAAAAACACAGAATTTTTGACATTTTTGCAGATTTATTAAAAAAGAAAAACTGAAATATCACATGGTCATAAGTATTCAGACCCTTTGCTCAGTATTTAGTAGAAGCACCCTTTTGAGCTAATACAGCCATGAGTCTTTTTAGGAATGATGCAACAAGTTTTTCACACCTGCATTTGGGGATCCTCTGCCATTCCTCCTTGCAGATCCTCTCCAGTTCTGTCAGGTTGGATGGTAAACGTTGGTCGTCATGTTTAACATGTCATTTTGCTTCAGTGGCATTTTGGTCTGTTTCACCCAGATAGATGAGTCGGTGTGAAAATGTGGGAAAGATGGTCAAAAATGTGATTTAATGTGCTTCTCTTAAAAGCAGTTGTAGGTTTGGTGGTTGAATAAAAATGGGAAGGAGAAAGCTGTGTGACCACACAAAGCAGTTTTGAGTTTTGAGATTCAGTAAATTTGCCACTTCCCCTTTTTTTAACTGTCTTCTTTTTTATGTGGTGTCAAATCTGTGAAAAAGAAAACATTTGTTTGTACATGACCCGGTTGTACTTTTCCTCAGATGCCTGGTAATATCTAACATCTTCAGAATGAATCTAAATGGTAAATCATAATAATGTGGTTTATGATGACATATGAGTGCACTTTTCAAAGTACTCTACATCAGGATATTTCATTCTGACTGACAAGATGTACTTAACATGTACTTACCAAACAAACAAAAACACTATCTTTATAATAATGACCCTCATCAGTCAAATTAAATATTCTTCATATTTTATATTAGAAAACCAGACAGGAAAATGTTGTTTTTACTGCGCCAACCAAACCAGTGCTTTCAGATGAAGACTTTTAAAGTGTAGGTGAAAACTAAAAATCGACAGTATGAATCTTTCATCACAGGAACTCACAGGAATTGCACATTAAATAGTTTATTATTGAAAGAAAAGTGGATGAATAAATCAATTATAAAACAAACACAAGTGAGAATACATGGAGGACTGCAGACTTAATCTAAACGATATCCGGGACTCACCGCTCAGCAGGGAGGGATTTCATTCATGAAGTGCTGGAGGAAGAAATGGGAGGATGTCTGACCTTCGCTCCCATACTTATGTCTGTGACAGGAGG